TCTCGGTTAAGTCCTCCAAGAAATCTCGACATTACCATCTCTTCTCCTTCTCGTAAATCTGCACGAATGAGCAAAGTTTCCAATTCCTGATTTAATCTCGAACAGACTTCGTACCTTGGACGAGGCGCCTAAGCTTGTTGAGTATTTCGCGCTGATGATGGACTGGAACGAACCGCTTCCTCATCTGTATAACAAGCTGATCCCAAGTAGTAATCGGAAGTTCCCTAAGGCGATTTCTGGTGACTCCAACTGCTCCCACCATAGAAGCGCATACCCATGAAATTCTGAAACTGCAATCGTCACCTTGTTGAGCTCGTAAGTTCCTTGGACCAGAAAATTAGACTTCATCTTCCTTTCCCAATCTAGATAAGCTTCGGGATCATTGGTTCCATGGAAAGGAGGATACTGGATTTTGATATGACACAGCTGCTGACGTAGAGGATCATAATCTCGACCATGTCCTCGGCTTCGATCTCGTCTCACAGTTTCTCGTCTATGATCAGAAGCTTCGTCCTCCTCATAGTATTCTGGGTCTGATTCCAGGGTAACTCGATGCCCAGCAATATATTCCTCTCTGCGGTGCTGACGATCTACTCTTGGGCCATCTCAATCTGCACCAGTAGGGTTCCTCCTCGGATTAAACGTAGTTTCGCTGCCCCCAATTTGACTTCGGCTGGACTTAGCTTTAGTCCTGCCTTCAGAAGGTGTTGGGTGGCGTGGGAGTTTCCGAGAAGATCCTATGTGCCCTTTACCCTTAGCTAAGCGCATTGCTTCCGACGGAGTTGGAGTTTGAGACGACTCTTCTCCACTTGCACTGAGATCTTTGAGCAGATCATTCATCTTGGTCTCGAACTTGTCGTTGAGTTGTTCGATTTGTTGGGTGAGCTGAGTTGCTATGGCTTGATTCGCTTCTTTAATTTGTTGAGACATTGCTCGGTTCAGAGCTTCAATCGCCTCAGCCGAAAGCTCCATGGTACCTGAAAAAAATTAAAAGAACTCGCAGTAATTTGTTCTAGACGGAATCACAAAAACAGTAGCATGATCGAACTAAAACTCAACATAAAAAAAAGTGCAAACCCCACGAAATCTAAAAACAAACTTAACTAACTAATGAAATTTAACGAAATTTTTTTTTTTGTGTACTCTTTTTTTTTTTTTTTTTAATCAACCCTAAAAAAAACGTAAATTGAAGTCTATTATCCAATCTAAACGAGAAAAAACGATAACAACGAAGCCTAATAAAAAAAATCAAAAATTAATGAATCTCTAAAACACTAATAAACTAGTTACGAGATCACGAAACCACGCAGACTCTTAACAAACTAATCGAAGACGAAGACACGAGACTCTTGATAAACCTAAACGATCACGACAACAATGGATTGAACAGACTCGAAATATCAAACTAGGAAACAATAACAACGATTTATCAGAACTCGATTATAAATATCAAACTGATCTAACAGCAGGAACCCTAACAACGATCGATCCAAAACAAATAACAAGCACGAACGATACGAACCAAGGGAAACAGATCGATGCACAGAACTCGGTAAACCCTAATGACACAGATACGAAAATTTAAAGCACAGAGATTAGGGTTAGAGTTTCGCTCAGCCTTTGGTTCAGAGTTGGCTCTGATACCACGTGATACGATCCTAGGTGATCAACTCTGAAGCAAAGATGATTAGATGCAGCGATATGATGGTGGTGGTGACTCGATGATGATGGTCGAAACGATGAGAGACGATGGTGGCTGGCGGATCGAGTTGAAGACTCGATATGGTGGTGTGTGTGGCTCGTCGCGAAGGAATCGATGATGGTGATGATGGAGAGATCGATTCGATGGGGTGGTGGTGGTAGTGAGATAATCGAATGGATGATGATGGAAGTATGATGAATGAATTCGATGGAATGGAGGGATAGAATAATCTCTTGTAAACAGATTAGTTTTAAGAAATTCGAATTTCAGAGTTTTTAGTTCTCAGAAATCAAAGAGAGAAGAACACGTGAAAAGTTTGATCAAAATTCTTCACTGAATAACACTTAGGCGATTTTCTCTAATTTATAGACTAAGAGAGAAAATCGCAGCCCTAATACAAAACTACATGAAGTTTGAAATAAAAACAACACGAAGTTTGATTTAAAAATAAAACAGCAAGGCGTCCCTTCTAAATCCTAAGTGGTGCGCCTAAAACAACTAGTGCACAAGTTATTGTGACTTTGCACGTTATTACCCATTAGTAACAACTTCTAAGTAACTCGACGTAGCAATGATTTCTGCCTCGTTAAAAACCTTGGAGAAGAACCTATTTGCCTTCCAAAATCTTCACCAAGGAAAAGAGTACAGAATCATCACCTAAGTTACCTAGTCATTGTTATTGGGTTCTTCATTCCTCAAGATAGAGATGTTGAAGATGTGAGCTCCAACCTCCAGTTGATCGCTGTCCTCTGTGGCAATGAGTGCGTGAGCCTCCTTAGCCGTCTCTCTAGCTCTGGAACGAGTGATCCTGCCAGCTACCTCTGGTTCCTCCTCCTTTGAGCTGGTCACGATCATATCAAACATAGAATGAAGAACACCATCAACAGTTTTAATATCCTAAAAATAACACGGACCTCTCCTCACAAGCAATAGAAGGCGTTGATAATGAGTTCACCAGAATTAAGTGGACAATCCTCTAGCACACCCGAACTCCGAGAAACTGTGAGCCGGGTATCCATTCACATCGCTTCGGATCCCATACCCATCTAGAAGGGATGTTGGAATATACAAATGTCATTGCCGCTGGATTAAGTTGATTGCATTCCATCCAAGATATCAATTTTCTTTTGTTCTTCGAGTCAGACACGTTGACATCATCATAGATGGAATTTTGTGGTAAAGGAAGATGCACCGGCAAATAACCAGAACCCTATTATATGAAAGAACACATATTAATGGATTTCAATTATGATTAATAGCACGGAATAGAATCAAAGATAAAGTTAAAAGAAAACTATACCTTTTGGCATCATATTCAGTTGCAAAAACAATGAGAAAGGAAGGAGAAACGTGTTTAGCCAAATCAAGCTAGGGTTTTTGGTTTAGAAAACTAAAGACGTAATGAGAACAGAATAACCGAAGAATATTTTTGATCAGTGAAATATTTATTTTGACCATGTTTTGTTCTATACGTATTTATACTTATAAAATAAAAGGCATTGATCAGTGAATAACAGAAGAATATTATTGATCAGTGAAATATTTATTTTGACCATGTTTTGTTCTATACGTATTTATACTTATAAAATAAAAGGCATAAACGATATTTGTAAGGATAATAACTGTTAGCATGTATATATCTATTTAAATAAGATATTGGAGATTAATTGTTAATTAAAGATGAGGTGAGTGGATGGAAAAGTTTAGGGGTTTTTTTGGTACTCTTAAATTTTCGATTTTTGGGTGTTTTTTTTTTTTAATTAAAACAATAATTGAGATGTATAGAAAATTATGGTCGTTTTTTTTAAAAAAAAGTAGATTAATAAAGTAATAGTTTGTTTTTAATTAAAACAATGAAAAGGTGTATAGAAAATAATTTTCGTTTTTAAAAATATATTAAGAAAATAATAGAAAATAATGGTCCTTTTTAAAAATATATATATTAAGAAACTAATAATTTTTTAATTAAAAAAATGGTAGATTTTAAAAAACTATAGTCGAATTTTTTATTTAAAAACATATTTAATTTAAAGATAAGATTATATTTTACTAAGATTATTAAATTTTAACTAAATTTATTTTGAACCCAGTAAAAGACTAATAACTAAACTTAATTTGAACCAAATTAAAGGCTAATATAGACTTTTTATTGAGGTATAAGATGATAATTAATCATCTCCAAAATCAATGAGAGAGCTGGAAATTTAAAATGTATTTTACTTATAATATATATAATAATATAATAATAATATATATGATATGGAGCTGAACACATAGGATACCCACATGTGATGTATCATATGATCGCATGCACTCGATCTTTGACTTATCTAACCTTTATCCGTATACACGTGCTATAGTCAAAGGACATGTGAACACGTGTCGATAACTTGGTCGCCTGGTTTAAACAGATTACTCAAATCCCACGGCTGTGGTGTGGCTTAAACTGTGGTAATTACTAATTAGTTGTTTTTTAATCAACAGATACATAATTTAAAAATAAAAAATTTAGAAAAAAAATAATACAAAGGTGACCAGCGGAAACAGTGGGTCCCATAGTCATCGCACTGCCCCGCAAAAACTGTCGCTCAAAGCAAAGTGTTTCCCTATTTATTATTTTATTTAGGGTTTAAATAAAATATACTTTTTCGTTTTAAAAAGTATCGTTTTAAAGTTAACTTTTAATTTTATCTAAATATATTAATTTTTTTATTTCATTAATTATTAATATATATATATATTTATTAAATTTAACCACATTTGTATAATTTTAAAAATATCTTAATACATATGAAATATATCAAAATAATACCCTTTTATAAAAAAAGAGAGAGTGCTAAAAAACTCATTACGGATCTTCACGAAAATAATAAGTATGGTATTGATCACCGATCGGTCATCTCTTATAATCTAGTTTTTTTTTTGGTCGCCTTAATTTTTAAATGAGTTTAGCATGAAACATTAAGGCATCTCTAATCATGATATCCATGGTTGGGGTTCATAGCAATTGTTTATTAGTTTTATTGCTTATTGAAAAAGGAGTCATCTCCACCTTAAAAATGCCCTCCATCAATGAAACTATATTTGAGTATCAATTGAATATAATAATAATATAATTTATAAAAAAAAATTCAATTTTTTCAAAATTAACATTATATAATTAAAATTACATAAAAACAACATTAGAATACAAATACAATACATGAAGCACTTAGAAAACATTAAAATACACAAACATTTAAAAAATACTGAAATATGAAATCTTAAAGGAAATAACAAAATACAATACATGAACCACTTAACCAAATTTATGCCATATATGTTCAACTAGATCATTTTTCAATTGCTGATGAATATCGTTATCACGAACTTGATTGCGAATCCCGATCATATTGCCAATATTTGTGGGCATATAGGTCGAATACGTCATATCGACTTGTGAAGATCTCGTTCCTTCTCCTTGTTCAAACTCTGATAGATTATATTGGGTGTCGGATTTTCTTTCGTCTTCTACTATCATGATACACGTTCTCATAATCTTGCTTATTTTTTCCTTATCCCAAATAAGAGCAGGGTTTTTGACAATAGCAAATCTTGCTTGCAAGACTCCGAAAGCTCTTTCAACATCTTTCCGAACAGATTCTTGCCGTGTAGCAAATAACTTTTCTTTCTCACTTTGTGGAAGGTGGATAGATTGTATAAACGTTGCCCAATTTGGGTAAATACCGTCGGTGAGGTAATATCCAAGTCGGTACTGATTTCCGTTGACAGAGAACCTGACTTTTGGAGCTCGACCTTGTAGTACGTCATCAAAAACAGGTGAGCGATCGAGAACGTTTATATCGTTTAAAGTACCTGGAGGTCCAAAAAAGGCATGCCAAAACCAAAGATCGTATGATGCTACAGCCTCCAAGACAATTGTTGGTTTTCCTGAACCCCGTGTATATTGGCCTTTCCAGGCTGTTGGACAATTTTTCCACTTTCAGTGCATACAATCGATGCTTCCAACCATCCCGGGGAATCCACGATCCTCTCCTTCATTAAGCAAGCGTTGAAGATCTTCTCTAGTGGGTCGTCTTAAATACTCATCCCCGAAAGATGATATGATTCCTTCCGTGAAATGTTCCAAGCATGAAATTGCTGTACTTTCACCGAGGCGCAGGTATTCGTCCACTGCATCCGCAGCACTACCATATGCTAACATACGAATTGTTGCCGTACATTTTTGTAATCCCGATAGACTAACTCTTCCAGTGGCATCTCTCCGTTGTTGAAAAAATGGCATTTCTTGGGAAAGTTGTCCCACAATACGCATGAACAATGACTTGTTCATTCTGAAACGGCGGCGGAATAAGTTGGGCGGGTATGTAGCATCTTCACTAAAGTAGTCATTCCATAAACGGATATGACCTTCTTCACGATTTCTTTCAATATATGCTCTCTTCTTCTTCTTCTTTGGTTTGGGAACTGTTTGACGTTCAAGAAAAGAGTTCAAAGCTTTGTCAAATTTTTGATCAAAAAGATCATCAAACTGGTCATCCAAACTATCATCAACATTTTCAACAAAATTTTCATCATAATTTTCATCAAAACCATTGTTGAAATCATTGTAAGAAGAAGATGCCATGAGAGAGGTTAAACAACAAATTTTAAAAACGGTGTTTAGGTGTTTAGAAGAAAAGAGTTGGATTACTTTCAAACCGTTTAAGTGTTTGAGAAGATAGCATAGAAGAAGATAGAAGAGAAGACTTTGAGAGACATAGTTTGAGGGTGCTTTGTTGCTATATATAGATGGGCGATTATGAGAGATGAGATTGTAGTGGATACCAACATCTGAATAATCATGTGGCTACAAAGATATAAAAAATAAAACATGTGGATACAAATACAACTCAAATAAATATGTGGATACAAACATATGAGTACACAGCTTTAAGACAACTTGCGGATACAAACAAGTGATAAAGACGATAGGACACATCTCTACGATACAAACAAGCTTTATGACAACTTGCGGAGTCAGCACTTTCTCCAAACCTGTTTAATACAAAACCATTACCAAAGTCCAGAAACCAAATGTATGAAAGCAATTTCCAAAGTAAATGTATGAAAGTGATTTCCAAGCCATAATGCAGTAGATAAAGTGTCATTACATGAACTTAAAAAACACAAGGATACGAAATGGAAAGCATAAACCGAAGTTCACAATCTACCCTAAATATTGTGATCGTCTTAAAAACATGAAAACACCATTCTTCAACAAAGAAAAACCCAATAGTTCACTAAAGATTAACCCAACAGTTCACTAACTAGTTTATCCTTGATGGCCCTTTCCTTTTCTGAAAGTAAGTTCATTCGTAACACCAAACTATCAAGCAATTTCTGCTTGGAGAGCTTGTCCTTAATCGCAAGATCCTGTTTCTTTATTTCCCAAAACTAGTTCATCTCCGTCTGCCCGTCATCTTCATCGGATTGAGCACCCTTTTTACCCTTGCCATTGCTTGCCAAAGCCTTCTTCGCTGCCTTCACACCCGTGGGCCGACTCTCTGGTGACTCCTCAGCATCAACTTCATGTGGCGATGTTGCAGTCGGTGACTTGATCTTCCTTTTTTTGACCTCGCTCTCTTTCACCGCGGATACTGACGACCACTTCTGGTCGTGCCTGAGTTCACGCCAGCAATGTTCAAGTCCGAACTTAAAGCCGTGATCACTAACAAATATCTGATGAGCAGCCTTCATCAGATCGTTATCATTTTGACCAGAGCTTTGCTGTTTAATGGCTGCATCGTAGCACCCGACAAATTTGCAAGTCTGGTCATTGATACGGCCCCACCGTTGCTTGCAAACAGTGCTTGAACGTTCCGGAAAATCAGCTAACTGCGGACTGTTGTTGAAGTACAGACTGATGCGACCCCAAAATGCACCGGCTTTCTGGTCATTTCCGATGACAGGATCCTTGCTTGTGTTCAGCCATGCCGAGATCAAAACGATATCTTCAGTTGGATGCCATTTCCTCTTTGATGTTTTCGCGTCAACAGTCACAGTGGGCTCCTCCGTCAACTGGGATCCTAAGTGTATATTGCTTAGTGTTTGGTGGTGACATTAATAAGGGTTTACAATGTTCTGTTTTATGGTGACAATTTTCTCAAGTTTTCAAAACGTTAAAAGATTTAAATTTAAAGTTTTTAAGAGATTTTACGTTTTACTAAATATCTACCAGAGTAGCTAGCAATGAATGAAACCATTAAGCTTACATCGTAGAAGTAATGACCGATGACATGATGGTCTATAAGGGTTTTTAATCTCTATTTAACCTAATCTAAAGCAGCAACCATTGACAAGATGTACCTTAACTATACACCTAACTGTCTTAAATGCTACGAGGTGAAGTAGTTGGGTTTATGACTAACCTTTGTTCAACGCGGGAAGTATTCCTCGGTTATGGTTGGAGTAGATGGCTTCGATCTTTATGTGACATGACCTCGCAAAGACAGAAAGGGAGTTTAATGAAGTGATACACTGACAAATATTAAACCTTAAACGTAATAAAGCAACGAATAAGGAACTTTTACCTTCACACATTCTTTAGCCTTCCTCCCAAATACAATAGGAATAGATGAATCAACCCAAATACAATACAATTTATCGATCACACTTAGTGATCAAGCTTAGTGATCATTACTATAAAGCGTAAACACTAAACCACAAAACAGATTTCGAGTAAAAACACAATCAAAACGAGAGGAAAAACCCCGAGTTCCCCTAAAACGACAAAGCCCTTATCCGTACTCAACAAAACTTATCGATTTACAACTACAAATAACCGATTAATCATCACCATATTCAATCATTCATATATATCAATCAAATCAAAAAGCCCTAAATTTTAAAACCAGAAATCGATTTTTCCCCAAATTCAACGAAACCCTAATTTCGAACCGAAGAACAACAACATTAACACTACACCCACGAATAGAAATCAAATTGGTGATAAATCCCTACAATAAAACCGAACAAAAACACTAAATCGTTTTTTGCCCAATTTCCCCTAAAACCCTAATCGCAATTTCAAGAAGAACACGAGCAACCACTCGACAATTACCCAGAAATGAACTAAACGGAGTCAGATGAACTTACCTTTCTTATTCGGCGGCGAGAAAAGGCTGGAGAAAAGGCTGGCTTCACCGGCGGCGTCGAATCGCTCTGGGAGACGAGGAGATATGTGTTCGACGACTCAAAAAAAATTTCAACTCCAAATGAAAAAACGAAACATTTTACCCCTTTCTCCTCCACACAACAGCCAATGAGATTTCGCCACTTGTCCAGTCATACCCGAGTGAGACGAATTCAATAAACTCACTCTACTCATACCGTCTCACTCGATTTGAGCTTCAAAAATAATTAAAAACGAAATCACATAAAACAGGTCCACTTATGAAACCCTCTTGAACCTCCGTTAAAGGTGATCTTACAGACAATTACAAAGAAGGGAACTCTCAAATACACATAAAATAAAATAAAAATAAAAAAAGAAGGGGAGACAAGAGGATGATTAAAAATATTAATACGCGACGGTGACGTATGATGCGAAAGAAAGGCAACGCGGGTGATGATGAAGAAGGTGATAGGCATGTCAACTTCGCAGCTGCAAAGCCTGATTTGTTTGTTTCTCTTCTCCCTGAAGCGTGCTTCCAACGTGTCTCTTTGATCATAACCAAAAAGAACATCACTTCTTTTTTATTTTTAAATACTGTATTTAAGATTATTATTCATCGCTCTCATTTTCACATTGATTGTGTTCTTAGAATTTTGTTACTCGTGCAACCGTCTCTTTTCCTGAATAATTATTAGATAATTTTTGATACCTAGTGTTGAGAATTTCACAGCTACCGTATTATTATTGTTAATTTTAAACAAAAAATAAGATTTATGTCTTGACCACACATATTTAGGTTATGAAAATGGCATGTGAAACATAGAAATTATTATTTTATCCGGAATATCCGGCTCGACTCGTTTTTTATTTATATTCGTCTTTATATTTTGGTATTTGGAAGATTGGTTACGTATACAAATGGCTACATTTACACAAAGTACTATTATTGTCAACGAATTAAAATGTGATAATGCATCTTTCAAGAGACTATTTATAGTCAGTAGAGTGAAGAATGGTTACTCACGTAGACTAAGGTATATAATATATACTATATATACATATATTTTTAAATGATTAATTGTCCCTCATATGTTTCCTCTGTCTCTTTATATACTTATATATATATATCACTTAATTAATAATAACTCTTCCATTTCTTTATGCAATAATTACTTGTTTCGTAATTTCCCAAATTTACCCATTGATATATTGCTATGTCTTACTTTTTTTTTCCTTGGTAATTTTCACTGGAATTATGCATATTTTTAGACAGACAAAAGTTCAACAGATATGTGGTCCCATAACTACTAAAACTCAGATTATATGGAAAAATATTAAATTTAATAGGTATATTAGATCACCCAGCCTCTTAAATATCGGATGGTCCCCTTTCTATTAAAGCCTTTTTCTTAGGTCTAATTCAAATCACATACGAAATAATCTGATATATGCGTTAATTACATTTACATATCTTAATATAAAGAAAATGATACAGTAAAACACACGTATGTTAACAGGGGCAAAATCGTCATTGGCTTTTTATAAAGTAATTTAAAAATGCTTCGTTCCAAACCAGAAACCTGAAACCATGTTACCTGTAACAACGACATGTATTTATTATTATACTCCTCCACGGATCCAACGACTCAGACTCTTTCTGATCAACTCGTTCTCAACCGTCGGATCTTACTAAGGTAGTCCCCATCATATTCAAACAATACCTTCTCTCTTCTAAAAGCCCCTACTTTTGTAAATAATTACCAAAATTGCCACTCCTTCCATGTTTTGTTCTCCTCTCTTCTTGAATGTTGCGCTTTTTGTTTAAGCTTTCTGGTTCATTTTCCATGGAAGGACCTTGAGCTCTCTGCTTCTCTTCTCTCCTCTCTTTCGCTAAATTTCGTGCAAATTTCTCTTTCACTACTTCCTTTCTTTCCTTTCTCTCCCTCTCTCTCTCGTTGGTTAATTTGATCTTCTACTGTGTTCGTCTTCTCTCTCCAGGTACTAGTGTTTAACACTTGAAAAAAACTTCTGAAAGTTCAGTTTTTACTTTGTTCTCGTAACTTCTGTCGATTCACTCACTACCCGTTGTTCATAATTTGATTTGGGTTTAGATCTGTGTTCTCGAAGCTAGGTGTTTAAGTTTCGATTTTTTAGCTGAATTTCTCAATATTTTGGAGAAATGCAGAAGAAAGTAGGTTACACAAAATCGTTGTTTCTCTGCTTCTTGTATCATGGAAAGTGAACTTATTTTGGGGAAGATAAGCTTAGGGAACAAGAACCGAAAAGAAAAAGTCTTCTAATTTTACTTTTCCTGGGAAACCCTAATTTGTTCTTCTTCTTTTTCTTTCATAACTTTTCTGAAGCTAATTGCCGTTTTTTCTTTATTGAGATTGAGAATTCTTCTTCATGCATATATAAATAGAAATTGCAGATTTTGTGTGACTTTATTTGATTTGGGTTTTTATTTTTGTGATGTGTCTAAAGCAGAGTCCTCTTGAAACTAAGATCTGATGTCTTATCGATTGCTAAGTGTGGATAAGGAAGATTTGGCCACACCACCTGGTCTGAAGGAACGAAACTACTTGGGTCTGTCTGATTGCTCCTCTGTTGACAGCTCAACCATTCCCAATGTTGTTGTTCCAGAGATTGAGAAGAGCAATCTCAACTTCAAAGCTACAGAGCTAAGGCTAGGCCTTCCTGAGTCTCAATCTCCCGAGAGAGAAACCGATTTTGGTCTGCTAAGCCCGAGAACGCCTGATGAGAAGCTTCTCTTCCCGCTTCTCCCTTGTAAAGACCATGCCTCTGGAGCTACTACAGTGCACAAGAATGTTGTCTCTGGCAACAAAAGAGGATTCTCTGATACTTGGGACGAGTTCTCTGCTGTGAAAGGATCCGTTAGACCTGGAGGTATCAACATGATGCTGTCTCCTAAAGTTACATCCAACACCAAGAATGATGTCAAGAAATGCATTCAAGAAGAAAGATCCAATGCTAAGAGTGGCTTGAAACATGCACCTGCTGCCAAGTGTGTAAAGAATGCTAACCAGTTTATGAGTGTTGTGCTCTTTAGTTTGTTAATCAGCTATTTGTTATCTATGGATTTGTAGGGCACAGGTTGTTGGTTGGCCTCCGATCAGATCTTACAGGAAGAATACAATGGCGTCTTCTACTTCGAAGAACACTGATGAGGTTGATGGGAAACCTGGTCTTGGTCCTTTGTTTGTGAAGGTGAGCATGGATGGTGCTCCGTATCTGAGGAAAGTCGACTTGAGGACTTACACTTCCTATCCACAGTTGTCTTCTGCGCTTGAGAAAATGTTCAGCTGCTTCACTCTTGGTGAGAATTTTCTAATGTGTCAAAGTGAATCCGTTTGTAAAAAAAAGAAACGAAACGATAAAAGAGTTGACTTTGCTTCTTGTTTGTGATCTCAGGTCAATGTGGACTTCATGGAGCTCAAGGGAGGGAAAGACTGAGCGAGATCAAACTGAAGGATCTTCTTCATGGATCGGAGTTTGTGCTTACTTATGAAGACAAAGACGGTGACTGGATGCTCGTTGGAGATGTCCCATGGGAGTAAGCTTCTCTTGAGCTCTTAACTCTTACTAACTTTGTGGGATTTATGAGTTGTTCCTTGAAAATTTTAAAGAATGGATCAAACATCAGATAAAAAGATGAATACTTTCAAGTTGATTCATGCTACTGAAATTGTTATCTTTTGGTTTAGTTGCTCCGCAAAAGCTGAATCCTTGTTAAAATCTATATGCAGGATATTTACTGAAACATGTCGGAAACTGAAGATCATGACTGGCTCTGATTCTATTGGCTTAGGTAAGTCATTTATTTTGATATGCATCGTCCCCTGAAATCTGAATACAAGCTCAATGGCGTAATTCATTGTTGATTTGCTTTGTTTCAGCTCCAAGGGCAATGGAGAAATCGAAGAACAAAGAGCGAATCCCTCTCAGGGCTTGAAACAAAGAGGCTCAAGACAAAAACTTTATGCACAGTTCCAATGTTTCAAGTCTTCTTTTACTGATATGTTTGAAAACTCTTTTGTTGAGTCTTTTACTAATCTGTGTTTGTAAGACTTTGGAATCTCTTATTTGTATGTGGCTTGTTCAGAACAAATACACTTGCTCTCGTGTGTGTTCTACTTTGATCTTCAACACTTGTTATTTCATATGTTTTAGATTTTTCTGCCTTTCCTTTCCCTCTTAACTATATGCAAAACCTGATTTGTTTAGTATTAGTACAAATTACAAAAGTCTCTTTAAGTGATAATTACGATAAAAGTTTGGTCATTGATGGGTAATCCTGTATATAATGACTAAAGAGCCTTTTTTACACAAAGTGGGATCTCTAATCATGATTTTTTTATTTTATAAAAACAGGAAAGTGTGTAACACTGGATTAGCTTTAGACTAATCCCAATAATTTACCTTCTACAGCTTTCTTACAAAGGTTGATAATGAATAAACGATGTTTGAATTAAATGTCTAGATTTTGACATACTATCTCTCTTATGTATTGCCTAAGTGCCCCAAAGTCTATCCCATACCATTTTCTTTTTATAGCGAAGTTTTCTCTTAAACAGAAACTTAGCTTATTTTTTACACCTACACTTTATGTGTTATTTCAGTAAGTGTTTAATTTGTTTTTTGTTCTAAATCAAACAAAAGTTCGATCAACATCAGTTACACAAACTAACGTGATTGCTACGTGTTAGAATTATATATATTGTGTCAAGTTAGAGCTATCTTTTTATCAAGTTGATATTTGTACCAAAATGTACCTATTCATATTCGAATTCCCTCCCGATAAAAAAATGGAATTTTTTTTTTGATATATCGACATCAATGTCAATTAGTCTTATCAAATGTGGGAAAGTGCAGCACTTATAAATGAGTTTGTGGTTAGTGCACTTCATCATTGACTTTGTTTTCTAATTTGATTGTTTTGTTATTCGTCAAAACAATTATGTCAAGCATAAGTTAGATGTCTTGTTAGTGTTCATTCATACGAGAACTTGTTTTTTCTTATGGTTAAGCGGAATAATGTTAAAGATCTTCATGAAGTTTGACTTAGGTCGAAAATCATTTCTAGATAAACTAAACTCGATTATGACATATAATCTTTAAAAAACAAAATCTTGTGCTTTGTGTTAATATTATTGTTGCGCTCCCGTCCAAATTCGAATATGGACAATGCGTAAGGCAAACAAGACTCTAACAACGTATTAAGCCATGGATAAACTATCATGTCTTGGTTTTCTATATCTAACTACATTCTTATTTTATAGATCCTTTATGATTCTTTTTTTTAGGAATCAAGTGAATATTTTGGGGTATTAATGTAGGAGTGGTGTATATATCTCTAGTTTCATAGTTAGTGGACTTAGGAGAATATTGGTCCCAGTGTAATGGAAGCTAGTGGCTAGTAATATATCCTTTGATTCTGTAAGTTGAAAAGAAACTAAGATTCATAGGTCCCAATCTCTTCAAAATGACCGATCAAGATGGAAAACTAAATTTGCTTCTCAAATATATTTACTTGAAGTCAGATAAAAACCAGACACTGTTTTAGAGTAAAAGTAATTTGTCATCCATCTAATATCTAACGAACTTAAGCATTTTAGGATCGGTACATGGTTGTTCACTTAAATTTTTGACAAACCTATGATACATATATAAATTGGTGCAAAGTAAGGAACTTGAAAGGTATGGTTTACGCAGGAATTTGGTTTCTTTAATAAGTAGTTTTGGATTTGGTAGCTAGGGAAATTTGGTTTCTTTTTTTTTCCAAAAAATTAAGATCCATAATTTTCAAAACCAAACTAACATGAGATAAGATGTTTTACATTTTTTGATATAAATAAGATATTATACGTGTTTCTATATGTATGTGTGGAAACATCATTTTCATGTAATTTTTATATTGAAAACTGTCATGCTGTTTTAGTACCAAACTTTGAGATGCAAGTGTTTTTAGGCTATATATATGCCTATATGATATATCAATCTTATACTGATCAAAATCAGCAATTGATAATATTTGGTTAGATTGGATTAGGTAGACAGAAATATACGAAACTGTATTGAGGAAAATTAATAAGCAATTGCAAAAGTTATGGTCTAAATATGAAGATTCGTCATGTGGATCGATGTCAGGGTCTAAATATACTTCGAAATACTGATTATTAGATAAATTGAAAACAATGCATAAAAAAAAAAAAAAAAATTCATAACAACAACGATTGGATCAACTGTTATCCGAGAGTAATTTGTCTTACACAGAACCGCAATTTGAAATTATCATTTTTTCTTTAATATTTGTATGTATGCGCGATTACGCGTAACGAAAACAAATATCTAGTCTAGTAAATAATTACTCGGCTAGACTCTCTAAGTGTCACGTTATTAACTCAAATTTATTTTAATATTCTGATAATAATACATGTATATTATTATATAATTAATAAATAATTAATGGACCACAACTCAGGATTTAATCGCCTTAATAGACAACTATATTTGACAAACAAAACAAAATTACTTATATATGTGCAATCATGGATTGGTCCACATATCATATGGTGTGTCTCCCAAAACCTTTCTTCTACTTAAAACTTATATTTTTAGTCAAAGTATTCTTATTATATACACTTCAAAGAGCGTTGAACAAAAAAGAAAAAAAATACACTCCAAAGAGCCACTAAATTCTAAATTTCTAATCCTCTATTCATTGCACAGAACAAACTCTTTTAAGCGTACCCATCCAAACAATGCTCATATTTTAGAATAATTAGTTTAAATTCTTCAAATTTAATTCGCATGACATATATTAATTAAGATTCATTACTGACGACAAAAAAAACTGATACATTATTGTTTGAGGACAAAACTATAGAATATTATATACGAAATAATTAACTAGATTAAAAATCTGGTTTGACACTTTGACTTTGACTAGTTGTCTATGTTTTTTTTCGCCTATGATACATATACGCGCGTTGTATTGGATGGGTAGGCGTAAAAGATGAAAATTGCTGAAACTTTTGAATTAGAAATAAATATTTAGTGTTTCAAGGATTTATATACTCAGAGAAAACAATATTTTTGGTATAAAATGTTAATTAATTACGAATAAGTATAGGAACTGTATAAGGGTTAATAGGAAATGTATTTTTCTGATTTCACAAACATAGTGGTCTAGTTTTACTTTGAAACACTGACTCAAAACTTTGAAACGACCTGAATTTTCTAATAAGTTTGTTTCTTTTTTCTTTTCTTTTTTTTTTCCGTTAAGCACATGGAGCAGGAAAAAACAAACATAATCGTCTGCCACGTAGGAAATGTGCAACATTTGATACGATAAAATAATAACTAGAATGTTCTAAAAACAAAAACCAATAATATGAGAAATACTATTCCCAACAATATCTTTCGTTGTTATAAGAAAACAATATCTATTTGGTTATGTCTTTATATACCTCCAAATTCTTCTATATATGTCCATTTAGCATTGATCCGATAAAAAAAGTTAACAACAATGAAACAAAACTTACATTCAATTTATATGTGGTCATCATCGATTTTCTGGTGTAAGTGGTTTCAAAAAATATGATAGTCGTTTCTATAAATAAAAAGTGAAATTTAATTAAATAAGAAACGAAAGAAACTCTAGAAATTAAAAAAAAAAGCACATGACATGACATGATCGAGGAAGGGCCTTCCATAAGCCTTTTCAATTATGTCACAAAAAAAAAAAAAATTCTACAAGAAACTATTAATACAAAATTGTTGTGAATGATAAATTTACGATCAACCAAGTCGAACACCAAATCATACACAATAACACAATTAACCTCGACCCTGCTATTGAATTAAAACAAACGGAAACCATAAAGGCCGCTGCCCTCTCAAAACTAGGGCTCATATAAAAATAGAAACGACGAGAGCCTCTCCTCCAATGAAGTTTCATTTTTCATTTTCAAAATAATTAACGACATATATATAGCTAACAAGAAAATATAAAAATACATAGTATCAAAATATGGAAATATATCAGACATTCATCTAAACATATCATAAGTTCACTAAAACCTTTACGATCATATACGTTCATTGAAACCATCATAGAGTTGTCCATATATAATTTACGTATATTTGTTCTTGTCTCTACAGACCTTAAACGTATATTTTGAAACATTAAGAATTCATGCCGCTGGATAACTCCAAATCTAAAAATTTATATGATATGAAAATATAAATTTCATATCGTATAATTTCTTCTTCCTTCTAACTTTTATTTAAGAGTCAATATCCTTTAGTTATTAGGGTGGTGTATGATTGTTGTTCATACACCGTTTAAATTTAATATTTGCATTTGAACTGCTGCACCTAAGTATGATCATTCGCATAAAATGCTTTGGTTACATGAGTTAGGACAATAATATGTTTGGTAATTTCGAACCGCAAATAACGGTGTTACTACTAAAAGTGTGATTAGTTTATGCAGGTACTTATCTTCGTAGCTTAAGACTCTATAGTCTGTCTACACATATAAAATAGCCAAACACGTAGGTGGACATGCAATGTACGTTAAAAGCTGTAACAAAACAGAAAAACAAAAATTAGGAGGAAAAAGTGATAAGTAGCAATAAATTCATGAGATGGATAAAGATAAAATAAAAAAAAATAAAAAATGGACCGACCCATTACAACAATTAAAAAAAGGTACAGACTACAGAGTACACAGACTAAAACAGTAGCTATGGTTTTTTTTTGGCGTCTCTGTAATAAATTGTTCTGGGGATCTTCGTCCTATCTCCATGCCATTCACTATCAAGAATCAACACACTCATTTATTGATGCTTCATTATCTTCTTTTGTTTTTTTGCCGATTACCTTTTTAATTCGTACCATATTCTATAGCATTGATTTTTATAGTCGTAGGTCGACTTTGTTTTTATTTTGTTTGGTTTGATAGTAACACGTATGTCCTTGGAGTATTAAATAGTGCATTTTTATTAATTTGATGTGAACCCTTTTATTGAGGTGAATCGTAGAATCGCAAATTCATATCACTTTGAAAATAGATAAAATTATCACCATAACATGTTTACTGCACCTACCGTTATTATCATTATAGAACCTCATGAATTTCAGCATTATGGTCAAGCCATAAATATCTGAACGAATGTAGTTGCCTAGTAGGTATTATTACTGTGGCAACATGTTTATTTTCTATTCATCAGGTGATGGCTTATCGGATCAAGTTCGACATTAAATGTTTTGCATGGATCGATATATAAACAAATTAAATGGCTCACATCCATAGATCCAATAATACATATCGAATATCTCTATGCATAATGCATTTATTTTATACTTACACTGAACTGTATTAACCCAAATCATATTTTCTCATCTACTACATTAAAAATTCTGTCAAGGATCCAATAGTATTGTTATATGCCGAAAGAACGGTCAATCAACAAAATGCTCCCCTAATTTGTAGATGCATGGACATGAGACTTCTTAATTTTTTAAGATATCATCTTTAACAATTTATATACTCTCTGTTTCATTATAGTTGATTTTCTGAATATTTACACATAGATTAAAAAAACTATAAATGCTCAATTATTAACTGTTTATTTTTATTAATTAATTTATTTTTACAACTGATTTCATTATTTTTATTATTACTTTTTCTTTTCTAACTGTGCCTTAATGGAGTAAAACAACATGCACTAATATTATTCATTCAATTTAAAGAAGAGACATGCATTAAGTAGATATAGGAAATCAAATATTATGAAACAAGAAAAAAAACCTAGAAAATCAACTATAATGGAACAGATGGAGTACTTAAAACACGAACTAGGAGACTAAATTGATTTCATATTATTACTTTCTAAGTAAAACTATGGACTGACGTATAATTCTCTTGTTTTCACTTTTTGTTTTCGATTTTTTAGTTGACTAAAATCTCACGGTCCTTTTTACTGATATAACGTTAGAGTAGTTGGAAAAAATAACGTCAAAACGTCATGTTTTTGGTTATCAGAAAGACAAAAAAAGAAACTTATTATTTATATCGCAGCATATATTTTTATTATTCGTATGAAACTTATCCTCCCGTGAACAAACAAGTTCAGAGCAATTTTCTCACAACATATGGTATTTTCATAAAATAATAATCGGTAACCTATAATAACTTTAGCTAATATACATGAATAAATCTATATTCCTAAAGTTTTGTAGTATTACGATAATAGAGATGTATTATCTTTTATAAATAAGCTGCTGACTAAGGTTTATTATATTATTGTGTTTTAATTGACAGCAACCAAGGTTTATTTCTTAAAAGATTAATAATATCAATAGACAGTACACAGTATAAGGCTATAATAGCCGCCCATAAGTTCAATGTTTATAAAAATTAGTACCAGAAGCAATCATTTTCGTATAATTAACTATGGAGAAGAAAAGCACTTAGAAATGCAGTAACTATTAAAAATTCACAGCTTTAGGGGGTCAGTTATTTTTATAATCTCGACAAAATAAATTTTAAAATTAAAAAATTTAGATAATCCCAATATCCATCTTCCACTATAATTGAAACAAAAAAGGACTCCTTTTTAAATTCAACACTCCCACACATCTCTCTTTTTCTACATCTCAAAATTTTCCATTTCTTATAATCTCACAACATCTTCTCAGAGAAAACAAAAATCTCAGTCACTGAACACAACGCACGAGTCACGAGGTAGAAGAAGAAGAAGCAAGATGATAAACGGCTGGAGAAGAGCCTTTTGCACTTCCATACCGAAAGAGAGAAACGACAACGACGATAACGACGACGGAGTTCTTGATTCACCGGAGAATCAACGTTTCCGCCACAAATCCGCCTCAAAGTTCGGATTTTTCTCAACTCCGTCGACGCCTCGTTCCGTTTCCGGCACCTACAGCCTTCGTTGTCGGACTTCGCTATCCACCGCCGTCTCCACCGCTTCTCCGTCTCCGTCTCTTCCCGGAACTCCGAAGCTAAAGTGCAGAACAACCTCCGCAGAAACAACTCCAATCACAACGCCGACGAGAAACAGAAGCCTCGTCTCCTCTTCCCCCAAATCTCCGGCGAGTTTCTCCCTCTTCACGTCCAAGCTCAGATTCAATAAAGTAAAGACTTTTATCGATTTTTGAACTTTTTGTTTCGTAATCGTTTGATAATTGTTTTGATTTAATCGTTTTTTTCGCTTACGCAGAGTAGCAACAAATGCGGAATCTGTTTACAGAGTGTGAAATCAGGCCAAGGTACGGCGATTTTCACGGCGGCGTGTTCACACACGTTTCATTTTCCCTGCGTTACCTCACGCGCCGCCGCAGAACATAACCGGCTCGTCTGTTGTCCGGTTTGCGGATCCTCGCTGTTTCCCGAGATTGGAAATTACACTAAACCGGATTCTCGAACCGAGCTTGGGAACAAGTCGTTGAGAGTCTACAACGACGACGAGCCTTTGATTTCCTCTCCGATTTCTCCCGCCGGTTTTTACACAATACTCGAATCCGATGAAAACGAAGACGGCGAGTTCAGTGAATTTTCCGTTATAACGCCGTCACCACTAACGGCGAAACTGTTAACAGATCCTACATCGAGAAACGTGGAGGTAAAGCTCTCGCCGGAATCGGCGATCGTTGCGGCGGGGAGAGGTTACGAGACGTACTCCGTGGTCATGAAGGTGAAATCACCGCCGTTTCCGACGGCGCGTGGAGCGGCGCGTAGATCGCCGGTGGATTTGGTAACGGTTTTAGACGTGAGCGGGAGAGATTCCGGAGGTAAATTAGAATCGCTGAAGCGAACGATGAGGCTTGTGATTTCGAATCTAAGAGAGACGGATCGTTTATCGATCGTCGCGTTTTCGTCGAGCTCGAAACGATTATTGCCGTTACGGAGGATGACGGCGAGCGGGAGGAGATCGGCCCGGCGACTCGTTGATATCATTGCCGTTCCCGGCTCCGGCACCGGAATCGCTTGCTCCGGTGAAGGAATGAGCGCGAACGACGCGTTGAAGAAAGCGGTTAAGGTGTTAGAAGATCGCCGGCAGAAAAACCCCTTCACCACCGTCTTTGTTTTAACTGGCCGTCGGGCCCATCAGGCCCAATTGGCCCATTCTAGAATCCCCGTTATATGGCTCGGAGCGTGGGATCACGCGCTTCCGGAGGACGCGTTTGCGAGCAGCATCAACGGTTATTTGAGTTTGTCTGTTCAGGATCTTACGATAAACCTCGGGTTAGTTTCCGGGTCGGGTCAGGGAGAGATTACTTCCATGTACTCTCTTTCGGGTCGACCTGCTTGGCTTGGAACCGGTTCAATCCGGTTAGGTGATATGTACGCTGAGGAAGAGAGAGCCTTGCTTGTGGAAATCAGAGCACCGGTTAGTTCTTCATCCACTAGTAGGTCCCACAGAATGATGACCGTTCGATCTCGTTACATGGACCCCACGACACAAGAAATAAGAAACCCGGAAGATCGGGCGCTTCTGATTCCTTCCCCTCTCACCGTTCGATCATCGTCCAACCCAAACATCTCACGGCTCAGAAATCTCCACGTCAGCACTCGAGCCGTCGCGGAGTCTCGGCGGCTGATAGAGCGAAACGATTACACCGGAGCTCAGAGATTGCTGACGTCAGCAAGGGCCTTGCTGGTGCAGTACGGTTTGAACTCGAGTGATACGTGCTTACGTGGCATAGACGCCGAGCTAGCAGATCTTAACGGTTTGAGAGAAAGACACGTGGCGACAACGGAGAGTTTGGAGCCGCTTACTCCGACGTCGGCTTGGAAAGCGGCGGAGAGGTTGGCTAAAGTGGCGATGGTGAGGAAACATATGAACAGAGTCAGCGACTTGCATGGGTTCGAAAACGCTAGATTTTAGTTTCCTTTTTATTTGCCTGTTTTATAAAAGTTTCCTTAATTAGGCTATAGAACTTGTGTAATGATCTGATGATACAAACAAATATAGAATGGTGCATAATGAAGTTATATTTGGTCAAGTGATGACAAGATTTGGACATGAGTTATTTTATACCATGAGTGTCACTCAAAAGTTAACAATTACCATGTAAACACTCAGTCATATTTTTTCATATGTATTTAGATTGTTATTTTAGATATTAGTGTGTTTTTAAGGAAAACATATATGCAATATGAGAAAACACCAAAATGAATCGATGGTATTCGAATGAAACCTGACTAGAGCCTAAGTTGCCTAACATACATTAATCATGAACCTGAAATGATTTTTCCATTGCTTTTCTTTTACTTAATTACTTTTTTTATAATAAGAACTTTGATTTGCTTTATGATTATTTAAAGTGAAATTTTTTTAGCCAGAGCATTTATTCTATGTGTACTTGTTCATAATGGGTGTTACATTATAGTAATTTATAAATACTAAAATGTACTGAACAATCGAATTGTAGCCTTTTTGCGGCTACAACACTAATTAAAATCGTTGTATCCAATGATTCAAACTCGACGGTCAACAAAATATTTCTTAATAATACAATAAATAAGTATAAAGAAGCCGTAATAATATGATTGCGATGAGAATAACTAGGATTTGGGGATATCATTTGATCGGCGGAATTTTGTCTTTTGTTTTTGTTGGTATCGTAGGCTTTTTACACTAATACTATGATTGTTTTGAGTGTCCCTTTTGTTACGCACAAGATGCATCACTAGACACTAGGTAGATTAGATTGAACAATATATAGACAATTCATCTATCAACATATTTGGTTTCACCCAAATTAGATAAGAAAATCAAGAAGTAAAATGTTTAACCCCTTACATCCTCGGTAAGTAAGTTTATTGGTCTAGGGGTTGATCAAACATTTATGCCTTTACATCAAGTATAACCAGGTCTGGCTCAAACAAAAGTTGATATGGCTAACCAGTGGATTATCATTTATAATGTGATCAATATCAAATGTCTATGTTGATGTAATCGATAACCAAAAATAGATTAATGGTTTACAAGCCAATTGTATAAGACAGTTATTCATTTTCTGATAAATCATCTTCTTTAACTATGAAAACTGAATTGCTTAACTATATCACTATTTGTTAAAAATATACAATTAGAACTTTCTACTGGCTCCGAAGAAAATAATCGGCGTTAGTGTTGTATACTTCTCTTTTATTCGCCCGACTAACGTATGCCAATTTCTAGAATGTTGAAAAGAAAATCTAACATCGGTCACAAACAGTGAGAAGAAAAGTTAAAAGGCAAAAGTATTTGTTGAGTAAATGTTTTTAGAACGTTTTATTTGGATAGCGATGGTGCGTTCCACTAAAGGGATGCAATAATGGTACGCACGGGCTATATCTAAAAGTTCATATCATATAGTACAAACAAACAAGTCCACGATTTAGTTTCATCTTAAAGTATCAAGAGATCTTTAATTTTATAGTACTTTATATAGTTTTTAGATGTGGTATATATATATACACGGACAGGTATAGATTAGGTAGACCAAAATCCAAATTAAAGGAAAAAAGTTATTCACAAATGTAAGATAGTGGATAGTTTTCAATCGACATGATCAAATACAAGACTTTATAATTTTCTTAATTAACAACTTGTTATAATATACCTTTTAATCAAAATGTTCATAATATACTTTAATCATAAGAATAACTAGCTGTCGATATAAGGAGTTTTGGGCCTTTAATTTATTTAATTTATTGGTAATGAGTATACTTTAAAGGAGCTTTAGGCCTTGAGGTGTATCATTCATTCATTTGTATAGTTGAACAATATTTTTGGTTTTAGTGTTAAGATTTACATAGTTGACCAATTCCCGACGGAAGACCAGAAGAGGAAATTCAGATTTCGATTGCTTCTTTCAAACTATTTATGTCTCAGCTCTCTTACGTAACCCTTTCACGAGAAACCATTAATCAGAAGAGGAAATTCAGATTACGTTCACGTTGCTACTCGTGATTCGGACTGAATAGAAATCTCAGCCGTTTGGATTGATCGGTTATTAAAATGGGCTTAAACTGAAAGGCCCATTAATCATATTGACTAAAGAACTAATTAAAACACAACTTAATTTAGGCTTTAGGCTTATTGCTATCTTATTGACAATCAAAAATGCTATCATGCATATTCCATTTGTGTTTTCAACTTTCAAGTTCAATTTTTTTCTATAGCCTGCTTTAACATTACAATTGTTATTTCAATCAATTTTCGTATAAGGACATTGTAAAATACTTCAATAGATGTTGATATAGAGTATCTACAATAATCCAGATTATCATAAAGATACTTCTAAGAAACCAAAGTGTATTTTCTCCATTGAAAAAAACTGATTTTTTTTGGGTCATTTTGTGGTTTATAACATGTCGCTTTTGCATGAAAATATCAACTGCATTTTAACAAAAAAAATATTAACTACACTTTATAGTATAGCGATACATTGCGATGTCCAAATAATTTTATTTTTAATAAATAATGAAATAGTACTACAAAATGAAAAAGTTTCAGTTTCAACAACAACTCAATCTAGCTGTTAATCTAATTATACTTGGATACGCGTCATTAATTTAATTTTTTTTTAAAATATATGAAAATAATTGTGAATCTATGATATAATGATGTATCATCTATCTTCTATACAGATTAAAATTGAAATACTTTTTCCCTGTGGACTCTCGCCGGTGAAACGGTTTATCGGCGACGGAGAAAAAGTCTCAGTTTCACTCATTCTTTTACCAAAAATAAATAAAGAAAAAGGAAAGCAAATCGCTAAAATTTCTTACCATCCAAACCGAAAAAGAATCCTAATTTAAGAAAAAATAAATCATTAATTTATATACTTTCCCATTTATATCAGATATGCGAGTGAGAAGGATTTGGATGCATGAGAGGCGCAACATGGCGCATATTAGCAATAGACCTTTTTGTTTCTGGGTCCTTCGGTTTCCTTTGTTTTCCTCTTTATTCCTTCAAAAACCTAAGCCCACGAGAGTATCCTCTCTTCTCCTTCCTTGCCCCTTTTTATCTCTTCGCAGCTTCCCTTTTTTCGCAGATCCACACAGATCTTGGCTCTCTCGCCGTACTGAATCAATCGCTTTTTTCTCTCGATCAGAATCGTCAGATCTCATCGATTCACACCGATTTTCTCGTTTTTCCGTCGGTTTTCTTCGATTCCAGGTCAATTCCAGGTAAATTTCGATCAGATCCGTCGTTTTTGACTGTTTTCCGGTGGATTTGTTTGAGATCTGTTGTTTGTTTTACATTTTCTGGGTTGGGTTCGTTGGTCGAGATTGTTTTCTGGAAAAAGATCTGTTTTAAATCGAAAATTATTGGATTTCAATCGATGATTCATGTTCTTAACTTCAGATTCATTTGGAAATTTTGTTTTTTATTTATTTGCTAGATCGGTTGGATTTATATGGTTGAGAAGAATTTCTGGAAACGAGTTTTGTGGGTTTTCTGTTTTTGGTCAAAACTCCGATTTTTTTATCTCGATTTCTATCGATTTGATCTAAAATTCGGATTCATCGTGAAAACTCTTTTTTTTTCCCGTCTCTTTATCTCTGGGATTTGATCAAATATCTGCCATTTTCTCATTAAAGTTCGTCAATTTCGTTTTTTTATTAATCTGGAAACTCGTGTTGTGGATATTTCTGTGTTTGAAGTACGATCTCGATTTCTACGGATTTCTGATGAATCTCGTTCTTAAAATCGATTTGTAATATCTTCTTGTTTTCACAAACTTTGTTTGGATATGGAAAAAACCGAACTTTAGCATTAATTTTATGTCAAAATCATGTTGAAATAAGCGTCCTTCAATGGGGTTTTTATTTTCAGGAATCTGGTAATTGGTAGGCTAACTTCCAGCAAAGATGCAGGGCTATGAAGAGGTAAGATTTTTTAGCTGTTGATTTTCTTCTGAATTCGCTTTAAGCTTGATCTCACACCGTTTAATGTTTGCTAATTCAATTGCAGGACCTTGATGAGGAAGCTGGGTATGACGACTATTACAGTGATGACGATGGATTAGAGCAGGAGTATGAGGATGAAGAGGAGGAAGAAGAAGAACCCCCAAAGGAAGAATTGGAATATCTTGAATTGCGCCAAAAGATTAAGGATTCAATCAGGAAGAACATGGGAAAGGGAATTGCGAATCCTCAATCTTCACAACAGAAAAGAAGAAAACTCCCTTATAACGAGTATGTGGTTAGCTATTAATCTCCCTTTTTAGGTATTAATACATCATGGAATGTGTTTTGATTTAGCAAATTGTGTGTGTGTTTCTGCAGCTTTGGTTCCTTCTTTGGTCCATCGCGGCCAGTTATTTCCTCGAGGGTTATACAGAAAGCAATCCTTGATAGACATTGAGCTACGGACAGGTGCAATGTCGAGCTCGAACCAAACTGTATGTACCTCAAAACCTCCCTTTTCTCTCCACATTATATCGTTTGAAATGTTTTTGCTGATGGAAGTATTTGTGTGGTGTGCAGAAAAAAAGACCTGTTCCGACAAGCGGTTCAGGCACTAAAGATGTGTCTCATGAGAAGCGGCCTAAGGTTGTGAATCAGGTGAGGAGGAAAGTTGAGACTCTCAAGGACACAAGAGACTATTCGTTTTTGTTTTCCGATGATGCGGAGCTTCCTGTTCCAAAGAAGGAACCTCTGTCTCGGAGTGGTTCATTTCCTAGTTCTGGTATGTTGTGTGTACTAGAAAACTCTTTTTACAATTTGTGATCTTTAAAGCATACCATTTTCATGGAGATAACTTATACAGGTTTTTTGGTGATGTTCAAGAGGCTCGATCTGCTCAAATATCAGCAAGGCCCAAACAGTCATCAGGTATCAATGGTCGAACTGCTCAAGGCCTTCCTCGAGAGGAGAAGAGACCTGTTTCAGCTAATGGGCATTCAAGACCGGCTTCCTCTGGCAGCCAAATGAATGGTTCAAGACCGGCTTCCTCTCTCAGCCAAATGAATGGTTCAAGACCGGCTTCCTCAGGCAGTAAACTGAGTTCGAGATCTGTCTCAGGGAGACCGGCCTCTTCGGGCAGTCAAACGCAAAATTCAAGACCGGCTTCTTCAGGTAGCCAACTGAATTCGAGATCTGTCTCTGGGAGACCGATCTCCTCAGGCAGCCAAACGCAAAATTCAAGACCAGCTTCCTCTGGCAGCCAAATGCAGCAAAGGGCTGCGTCCTCGGTTAGCCAAAGACCAGGTTCCTCGACAAGCCGTCAAGCACCCACCAGGCCGCCTAGTTCCTTGATGAATGGCCAATCAGCTAACCGGAATGGCCAACCGAATTCTCGATTAGATCCCCATAGATCAGCTCCTGCGAAAATGTCAGTGGACCAGAGGAAACAGATGGGTAGCAGCAATGGAGTTGGTCCTGGTCGCTCAGCGCCCACGTCTAGACCTTTACCATCTAAGATGTCATTGGAGAGAAAGCCCTCCATCTCGGCGGGAAAGAGTTCCCTTCAAAGTGCTCAGAGACCGTCCTCCTCGTCGAGACCAATGTCATCTGATCCCAGACAACGGATGTTAGAACAGAGAAAGGTTTCTCGTGACCCTACCTCATCCCGATTGATCCCGAAACAATCAGCGCCTACCTCGAAACACCAGGTATCATGATTTTTCCACATCTTTCTTTTTTTCTCTGTTTGCCAAAACAAAACCGAGCAAAGTCACTAATTTGTAAAGTAACTTGTACACAGATGATGAGTAAACTGGCGCCCAAGAGACCTCCACCGCGTGATATAGATGATGTTCGGAGGCCGTTAAAGAAGAAGAAGCCTGCAAGATTGTCAGAGGATGATATAGCAATGAACATGATTAGATCAATGTTCAAGTACTGCTTCGAACTTTCCTCCTACTCTGTAATCTAATTCATTACTTCTTTTTTTAAGAGTTTTTTTCCTGACACTTGTGGGTTTTGCGTTTCCATCTCAGGACCGATCGTTTTGCTGGGCGTGACGATGATGACCGAAACATGGAAGCAAACTTTGATGATATCATGAAGGAAGAGAGACGAAGGTACATCTAGATTTTGATCATGATTTTCATTTTGTTTGTTTCTTCTATATATTAATAGAATATGTTCCTTAAACGGTTGATGTGGAATTGTGAAATGCAGTGCGAGAATCGCAAGGGAGGAAGATGAAAGAGAAGCTATGCTCGAAGAGGAAGAAGAAAGGAGAAAAAGAGAGAGAAAGAGGAAGCTGAGCCGTTAAAAGTTAGAAGAATCATTTGCTCTTCTTTGTCTTCTTTTAGGATTTCAGATATTTTCTTTATAGTGTTCTCTCATTTAAATCTCTCTCTTTTGCCGCTTTGAGGCAAAAGAGTTTAAACTTTTCTTTTTGTATTTTTTTGTTCTCTTTCAAACTATGGATATTTTGTTCTTGGAATTGTACAATCAGTAATAATATCTTTATTTCGGTCACTTCAGGCATCTGCCGGAATTTTCTTGGTAACCTTCATAGTTAGTGAAAGTTGATTCCTTTTATTTTCTGAGTAAAACCAGAGAGGATGATAAAGAAAAAGAAACAGAGAGAGAAAAAGAATATCTTTATTCACGTGGAGTTGCTTTTTAGTTTAGATGAATTTCTCAAAACTTTTAGTAAGTCCAATAAGATGATCTTTGTGATCCTTTTGTCTCATTTTCTTCTCTCAAAGATCAAATGGTGACCAAAGAAGAAGATTGTCTTCCTCCTGCAACGGAGCCATCGAGACGTTATTCTCCTTCTTCTTCTACTCCTCTTGCGGAGTTAGAGACTGTTCGGAGCTTAGAAATCGTCGAATCTTCCTCTCTGTCTCCCGTTTGGTATGTGATTCATAGCTTTACTCTTCACTTTTCCTCTATGCCCGTCATGAAACGGAATTTGTCATTTTGAGAACTCCCCTTATCCGCAATATGAAGAAAACGATGCAAATTTGAAAGCTTTTTCCCATGATTTTGGATTACCATGAGTCTGATTTGCCTTTGTTCTCTGAATCTCATTTGTGATTTGTGTGTTTAATATCTTTGCATTTACTCAAAACCCTTTTTCCAGGTTACTGGTGATCTTTTGCGTCATTAACTTGTTAAACTATATGGATCGAGGTGCGATAGCTAGCAATGGTGTAAATGGAAGTAGCAAGAGTTGTGATGATAAAGGCAAATGCACTACTGCAACTGGAATTCAGTAAGATTTTATGATTCTGTATAGAATTAGGATAGTTATTCAATATTTACGTTTTCTATATGTTGCTTATCCTAATATAATTATGATTGTCTTCAATGCTTTAAAGTTTTTGTGAATGTTCTCTAATGTAAAGTTGCTTCTTTTAGGGGACATTTCAATCTAAGTAATTTCGAAGATGGTGTATTGTCATCTTCATTTATGGTTGGACTTCTTATTGCATCACCAATCTTTGCTTCATTAGCAAAAAGGCTAGAAACATTTTCATTTTCATTTTTTTTTTGGCTCCCTCTTTCAAAGCACAAAATAATAAGCTTATTGAAGTGGTGTATTGTTTTTAGTGCAGCTTCAATCCATTTAGACTTATTGGAGTAGGCTTAACTGTTTGGACAATTGCAGTTCTTGGTTGTGGCAGTTCCTTTGCCTTTTGGTTCATCGTCTTATGTCGTATGTAAGTGAGTTTTGTTTTTGGTAAAAGATATGATTTTGACTTTGCTTGTTCCAAATTTTGAATTTTGGTACACCATTGATTACTCGTAGGTTCGTTGGTGTCGGTGAAGCTTCTTTCATTAGTCTTGCAGCCCCATTTATAGATGATAATGCTCCTCATAAACAGGTTTCATTTTTGTTTTATGGAGTCAAATGCACCATTTCTGATTAATTTCGTATCTTTTTTCTCTCTGTTAACCTTTTTCTTTTCTTCAGAAAGCTGTGTGGCTTGGTGTGTTTTACATGTGTATACCAAGTGGTGTTGCTCTGGGCTATGTCTATGGCGGATACGTATGTATAAAACGTCTATGTTGCAATTATAAGTTTATAGAGAATTATATTAAGAGTTCAAACTGTTTAGCATTCCATGATTCCTTTTTGTTTGATTATAGGTCGGAAAACATTTTAGTTGGCGGTATGCGTTTTGGGGAGAAGCTGTGTTAATGGCTCCATTTGCTGTTCTTGGTTTCTTGATGAAACCGTTGGAGCTAAAAGGTTTTAAGAACACATTTTGTCTTCTGTATCAAGCATGAACTGTTAAAAGATACTGATCTAAGAAAATTGAAAACAGGGTTTCCGTCTACTAAATCAGTAACGACGGTGAAATCAATTGAAGTAATGGCTTCATCAGTAGGTAATCTTTTTATCTCTCTTCTATGTCAATGAGAATTTGCTATGGTTATACAGTTGTGCAGTGAGACTTTGCCTTTTGCAGGACCAGAGACATCGAAAAACAAAAATGATCTTCAAGCTGGTAATGAGATTGAGGTTCCCATTGAAACTTACAAGTGAGTTGATTTCATTATCTTAATTTTCTTCCATATGCTTTGTAGAGTTTATCAAATCTTTTACTTCAACTTTGGCAGGTCAAGTCAAACGAGCGTAGTGTGGAAATCATTTACTCAATTTGCGAAAGATATGAAAGATTTATGTAAAGAAAAAGTCTTTGTTGTTAACGTATTAGGTAAAATTTTCCTCTTACTCTCTCATATTCATTTCTTCTTCTTGTTAGTTATCTTCTCTGTTGATTGATACACTTACCTTGACAGGTTATGTATCATACAATTTTGTTATTGGAGCATACTCATATTGGGGACCAAAGGCTGGTTATAATATTTATAAAATGGTGAAACAGTTTATCAATCTTTCATCTTGAGGGTTTATGAAAGATTCAAACTTTTGTTCTGATAAGAACTGTATCTTGACAGAGAAACGCTGATATGATCTTCGGGGCAGTAACTATCATTTGTGGGATTGTTGGGACATTATCAGGAGGCTTTATACTTGATCGCGTCACAGCAACAATTCCAAATGCTTTTAAGGTGAGAAAAGCTTGTTCTTCTTCGTTTTCGGATTTAATCAGGTTTGTATCAAACCCTCTTGATCTTTTTTGGATGCAGCTCTTATCCGGAGCAACTTTTCTCGGAGCGATATTTTGCTTTACTGCTTTTACTTTGAAGAGTTTATATGGTTTCATTGCTCTCTTTGCCTTAGGAGAGCTTCTTGTGTTTGCTACACAGGTAAATTTTTTTTTAAAAAAACTTTGAGCCTTAGTGTTGTTGCACCATCAATAATTGTTTCGTCTATCTTCTTTTTCAGGCTCCTGTGAATTATGTGTGTTTGCATTGTGTGAAACCAAGTTTAAGACCATTATCTATGGCTATCTCTACCGTCGGAATTCACATATTTGGCGATGTTCCTTCTTCGCCTCTTGTCGGTATTCTTCAGGTAAAATAATCTCTTCTTTTCCCATCTCCAATCCTGGAAAAACAGAGTTCTTGGGAACCAAAGTGCTTCCATTAATGTTGTATGTGCAGGATCATATCGAGAGTTGGAGAAAAACAGCGTTGATTCTTTCATCGATTCTGTTCTTAGCTGCTGCAATATGGTTTATAGGTAAAACTAATCTCAATTCTTTAACCTGAATAATCGCAGAAGAAGGCTGTGTGGTCCAAATCAAGAACTTGTTTTTGTTGTGAATATTGTTTTGCCAGGGATATTCATAAACGGTGTAGACCGGTTTAACGAAGAAACTGAAACTGAGAACCAGAGGAGGCACGAACAATCGATTCCAACTCCATAAATACTTTAGCAAAAATAGGAATCTGTTTGTACATTGTACAGTTCCAGAAGACCAAAACACAATGGCATATCACTTTTACCAAGTAGAACATTCATCAAGTTTACTCGAAAAATGATTCCACTATATACTCCAAATGTCTTCAAAATAACAAGTAGAAGACACTAAACATTCATTAATCTTTTATAACTAGCTTTTTAGCGTTTTGTTTTGTAAATATACTCAGCAAAAACATTTCCACCATTAGATTATCTTGGTTTTAGACAATATTCAAACTTACTTCAAGTCTAAATGTAACATACAACAAGAGGAATCTGATTAAAAATCAGGGAATATTTTTTTGAGGTGAATAGATCAATAGAGTCTACCGGTACAATCAGAAGAGCCACAGTAGCAAATTTTCTTCTTGATATTACCGTTGAGGTCACGTACCTCATCGATTTTGTAATTGTAGTGGTAAGTGAGTTCTCGAAGCGGAGGTATATTGTCCATGGCGAAGAACATCACGTGATGGAACCTCGTGTCTTCATGATCATACATTACGTCTTGTGCAAACAGATTCGGCGAGCAGCTATGGTTTAAAAACCTCCCAACATTCCCTTTCTTTGCAGCATCAATAGTGAACCCGCTCGTCTTATCATCATCATCATCATCATCATCTTCATCTTCTTTCATGGCCTGTGTCTCGGGCATTAACTTCGACATCCCTTCCGCTAAAGTGTTATCATGTTTTTTCCCAATGTCAAAGAGATACTCGTCGTTACCGATTCTTCTTTCCGCTTCTTTATCCTCTAAAAGCTCACCTACGTATTCACATATGAAGCTACCCGAAGGAATCGAGCTAAGCGATCTCACTCCCCAACCTCTTGACTCTGTTTTGAAGATCTCAAGCTTGAACTTGATCCCTCGCTGTGTGACTCTTAGGTAACAAGAAGGAGGGCATTTGCAGTGCGGGCCACACTCGTAGACTAAGTTCTTGAAACTAACTAAGGCTCCATCGTAGTTGTAAGGTATCTCACCTCCGTTTTTCGCCACGCAGGCGCAGTTTCTCGTTTCAGTGCAACGTGTGGTGCAACCACATGCCTTTGGAGGGATTGGTCTGCACCAATCCGGGTATATAATTTTAGTCGTGTAGATGAACGGAGGAGGTTTCTCGTCGTCGATTTCGTTCACTGCGCAAATAGGCAACCTCTCGTGCCCTTCTGAGATGTCAAGTCTGCACAGACCTTCCCTGTGTTCCGACCTCTTTGTGTTCTTCACCACTTTCCATGAAAGCTCAGGTTGTCCAGGCATGCGTCTAAGTTTAAACTTGAAGACGAGCTTCCCGTGTGATCCTGTTTCTTGCCAAAACTCTTCGACGACATATAACCCGTCGTAGACATAGTTCCCACCTTTGGCAGAACCTGATGATTCCAAAACTGCCTTCTTGTTGCCTCTTATGACACGCACAGGGTTCTTCTTGTTTATGCTGTTTGCTAAAGCTAGGTTTCCCGTTACAAGCTTTTGGTCTTCGGGCTGTTTTTCATCCACTCCTCTTTTGCTTTTTATGATCACATTTCCGCCTTGACCCGTGTAAGTCAAGACATCAGAGTTATCAAGCTCGTCATCGTACCCTCCAGAGGCTACAATACTCGTCGCATAGATTTCACCATCGACCTTCATATAGTCGATACCTCCTTGACTTGGTCTGTGTATACCAAGAATGTTCAGCTCCATCCTGTATTGAAACTCATCACCAACTTCAACACCAGGCACAGTTCCCATGATCTGATTACCAGTGTTGAGAAACTTCCCTTTACTCTTGAGGATTTTAGAGGCCTCGAAATCTACTCTGAAATTCTTTCTTTTGGTAGGCTTTGCTTCTTCCTCCTGCAAGAGTTTTCTACAAGCTCCGTAGAAAAGACGTAGAGTTTCCTTGACTTTGTTCCGCATACTATCACCGCTGCTTGAACCAGTTGGACGCGAAGGAAAAATGTCGACATGTAATGTTTTAGGCCGTCGGACTGGTTCCTCTGGATCCGGAGTTTCCCTCTCACGCGGAAATGAGCTCCTCTTCTCACCGTTCTTCTTCAACCTAGATCCTTCGCCATACTCTCGACTGGTCGTTTTGGTAAGCTTCAAGGGTTCATGAAATGCAATCCCTTTCTTTGCCTTTCTTTTGCTAGAGCCAGACCCTGACTTCTCAACAACCAATCTCTTCTTCATCGACCCAGTTCTGTCGATGTTTTGCTCACCAGCAACAGGAACCAGCGCCGCATTCTCACCATTACTATTTGGCAAACATATGGTTAAAGGCTGAACCTCCACCGGCTCAACCATAGGTACATCACTTGTGTTCTCCGGCAGCTTCACATCTTCTAATGCCAACATCAATGCGTCAGATTCCTCTTTCATTGGCTCCTGTTCCGGTTCAGGCGCGACTACCATGTCATTACAAGGCTGCTCACCAAAGGGTTTCAACTGATCATCATCTCTCTGTCCCAAGTTTTCTTCCTCTTTAGCTGAAGACTCAGCCTTAGCTTCACAAGACCTTAGCTGTTCATCAAAAGGTTTCAACTGATCACCATCTCTCTGCCCCAAGTTTTCTTCCTCTTTAGCTGAAGACTCAGCCTTAGCTTCAGAAGACCTTAGCTGTTCATCAATAGGTTTCAACTGGTCATCATCTCTCTGTCCCAGGTTCTCTTCCTCTTTAGCTAAAGACTCAGCCTTAGCTTCAGAAGAAGACCGAGCATAGCCGTCATCAGCAACATTCCCGTTCTGGCAAGGCTTGGCTTCCGTTCTTGGTCTGAGCCTCATGGCATGGGTTCCACAGCCAGGTGGGAAGTCTCTAACCGCATAAACATTTCGACGCTTGAACTTTAGCCGGGACATAACATCGGCGATGCGGCTACTGTTCTGCAAACCGTTTCCTCCTAGTTTCTCCTCTGAAACATTACCATTGCTCAGTTTTGATGACTCTGTATGTACCATATTTTCCACTACCCCCATTCCAAAACTCATCAAAGAGAACCAAAATCACCAGATTTGTACTGAAACAATGAACAAATTGAGAAATACCGCATCACAACCTCCCACATTCTACCACACAGATTTTTTTTTCTAAAAAGGAACGTTCAAATCTTAGCAGAGAGATCTTTTTTTTTTTTGTTCAAAGCAGAGAGATCTATAAATCAAGTTTAATATAATCTCCTCGACCACAAGACGAAGTATGAACTATTCAAAATCCATCAATCATAACATAAATTGTTAATCCATTTCCAGGATTCTAAGCAGATGTAGACGAAGCGTTTATGAAGAAAACTTCACCAGTCTGGTTAATGAGAAAATTGAGAAAACGTCATTAAGCTTCTCACATACAGAGAAACAGATTTTTCAAATCCTATTAAGCTTCTCGACTACAAAACTAAGTATGAACGATTCAAATTCCGAAGAGTTTTAAATACAACTTTTTTCATTCAGAATTCAGGATTCGAAGCAGAGATTTCACGAACCCCAAAAATTCGAAATCATGCAGGCAAATATCACCATCTCCATCAACAGAAACCGCGTAGGAAGAGATTACAAAAGATCAAATTCGCGTCTCAGAGCAACGAAAGAGGAGGAAACAGATGAAATTAAGAGAGAGAAAAGTTATACCGATGAAGGAAGGATCGCAAATGGTGGAAGGAGATGACGATGAATCGAATTCGATTGGCCACAACACGTTCGTGAGTAGTCGAATTTCGGAATTCGAATTCGAATTAGCTCATATCGTGTTGTTTGATTTGATTGAGCATTCGAAGGAAACAAATGACAAATTTTGCGATTTGTTTCCTGATTTTTTTGTTTTTTCCAGAAATGAACAACTTTTAACGTTGCAGGGAAAAAAGAGTAATTACAGTGCGACGAGTTACTTATTACCTTACTGATAACAATGACTGTGTCACGTCACAATATGGGGAAGGAAACGTGATCGCTATGTGATTTCGGATAAAAAAACTACTTGAAAGACCCAATTATCATTAATAAATCTCAATTAATTTTGATGGGCGATTATTAAGTTTAAAGTTTAAAGAAAAACTGATAAGAAATTGGGTTCTCTCACGAACAATGTTTTTAAAACCGGACCGGAAGACAAACCGGAACGACCTCTGGATCATGGGTTAACTCGGTCCGACCGAGTCAAACCGGGTTCATTGTATTTATATCCTATATATTTTATTTTATTAAATATATATATATATGATAAATAAATCTGTGAGTGACTAAGTGTATATTAGCTTTCAATGTTGTTGCTACTTTTAGGTTTTGTTTATTACATACTCTACAAGAAAAATAAATCATAGAAAATAAATTTATTTGCTCAAAAAAATATATATATTCACAATAAAACCCTAGAAAAAAAATTACTTTACATCTTTTACCTTTCTTCTCCAAAAGCCGCTGTTCCCATCTCATAGTTTCATTATCACCCTTCTCCTTCTACCTTCTTTTTCTTTTCTCAAATTTTAAATTTCTCTAAAATAGTTTTTCTAATTTTCTTTTCTTCCTTGCAATTTCTTTTTTTGTTATTCTTCACAATATCGTTATATATAAATAGTAAGGATATCAAACTGAATCAGAAAAAATCAACACAAAAAGAATAACATTCAAAAAACAAGAGAAAAAAAACTGTTCAAAAAACACCAAAACATAATCGTGAAGAAAGAGATTTTTAAGTTTTTTTATAATTGAACCGGGTTTGATGTGGTGCGACGGTTTGCCGGTTTCCGGTTTTCTAGCAGTTCAACCCGGTTTTCACCGGTTTAAATATTTATGGGTTTTATGACTAACCCAACCCGCATTTACTTCTGGTTCATGGTTCAACCTGGTTGGACTGTCGGTCCGGTCCGGTTTTAAAAACACTACTCACAAATTTACAAAATTAAATACAAACTAAGGATTAACCCGCGCTGTAGCGTGGGTGATATTTTTTTAACCTTTAATTACATTAAATAATTTTTGCAAAAACAATTATTTTGTGAAAACAATTATATTTTAAAACAGTTATTTTGCAAAAATAGTTATTTTGTGAATTTTATAAAATAAATTGATTTGTATATAGAGTATTTTTTTTTGTTTGAATTATAAAAAATGAGTTAATTCATATATAAAGTTATTTTATAAGCAAGTAAAGAAAAATAAGATGTTTATTTAACCCGTTAGCATTAGACTAATATATTATAAAGCTAATACACAAAATATTATAATATTATAATCATCAAATTTAATTTACATTGTTTAATAACTGAGTTTTATAATGTGTCTACAAACTATAAAAAACAGTTTTATCTTCTTTAACTATATATGTAAATAAATATAATATACACTTTAAACTTAGGTTGATATAAAATTAATTAAAATACAAAAAACTATATTTAGTTTTAAAAAACAAAATATAATATCTAGTAGATTAAATATACCACCCTTTTAAAAAACTATTATTTTGTATTGCGAGATTTTTTCGCTAGATTTTAAAAAATTAGAATCATAATCCATTCATATTGAACTAACCCGTTTACTTAACATGTATGTACTAGATTAAAATATAAAATTAATTATAATATGCACCATTTGATAACTCTCACTTCACCATAAATTTTTTAATTAAAAATCAATTTTCTCATATCAAATTTTTGGTAAAAATAAGTAAAGTAATTATCTTATAACAAATTATAGTAAAAAATATTTCACCACTTTTTATATCATAACTTTTAGTCTTGATTTTTATATTATTTAATTGTAATTTTTTTTATTTTCACGTTTTTTTTAACTTTATATACTTTATGATATCCTTTGAAACAAAAAATATAAAACCTATTATATTTTTGAATACAAAAATTTAATAAGAAATATACTCTATTAAATGGGAAACAAAGACTTTTCATATTTTTTTTAATAGATATAAAAGACAACTATATCCTTTTTTATTTTAATTATTCTTTGTTACTTGTAATGGCATATCATGTAATATTTTTATAAAATAAATATTTTTTTTTAATGTCTACTTAAATAATAATATAGAGATTCATATATGCAAAATTGCAAATACCGCTAATTCATTTGCAGATTTCTTTGAATCAGAAGGCTATATTCAACTTTATTTATAGATTCAGTAACGAAGAACTTCTAATTAAGCATACCATCTATTCCTAAGATTCTTATTTTTTGTATCCTTAGAAACATAAGCACAAGCAGATGCATGAGCGGTCTCCAATTTTTATAAAACAGATGAACATAAATAAATTAGAGAGCAAATTTAAAAGTGAAAGAAAATTGAAAAGATAGTCCGTATAGAATTGATTACAAAAAAAACAAACAAAACAAGGTGAAATTGAGAAAAAAGAAAAAAGAAAAAGAAAAGCAAAATTACATGCGTTTTTAATGAAAGAAAAAAGATCACAAAACGTAGAAAAAGATTACAAAACGTAGGACGTACATCATGACCACTGTAATGACCCAATCATACAAAGAAAAGAGCAATATGTCTTGTCCTCCCATTCGAAAACTACTTTGTGTGGAAAACGGTCTTCATCATGATCAAGCTGATCATGATTATAGCAGAATGGTTGAGACTCGATATTGTTGGGAAGAATATGAAATTCTTTATTCTCAAACATTATAGTTTGACCAGGTTTCTGCATATACGGTTCTCTCCCAAGCAAACAATGAACATGAAGAGTGATGCAGCAGTCATGGCATTCATAGAACCCATCTTTACTTGATATCTTTCTTTCGCATACATCACACCAGTCTAATTGATCTCTTCCGTCTTTCCCATTCTGAAATGTGAGAAAATGTTTGTCATACTCATACTTTGCTCTGTATGGTAAAGTAACACATCTGAAGCATATAACATAATCACATTCGATGCAATTTAGTTTTCGAAGAGAACTATGTTGCTCTTGGCAAATCTGACAAGTTGCTTTCCGTTCTTCTTCTTCTCGGTCTAAAGTTAGGAATAATGGATGCTCATGGCCTTCATAGTCAAACGGTTCAGAAACCAACGCACACCTCATGTCTAGGCTGCAACCTCCAACTTCATAGACGAAACCACAGCTTTCGCGATAACAAGCATCACACTTAAAGAAACCTTTTGAGAATTCTTGCTCATCACTGGAAACTTTAAGCGTAAGTGGGCGGGGATGTAAAGCATGGTGTATTTTGCAAGGAGCATTCACACATGCTTCATGGAGGACAAAGTTACATCCATCCATACACGAATAATAATTACCCTCGTAGATTGGAAGGATGCACGCTTGACAAAACCTGTCTTCATCGTAAACTATGCTGATCTCGAGTTTTAAATGATGGCCATGAGAAAAATGGAGTATTATTCCATCAGCTATCGTCTCATATGGCTCGACAATTATTTCAGGTTCCTCAGGTACTCCTTCGAGATCCACTCCATCCCACACGTCACTCCGCAAAGCACATTTTGTATGAACAAAATAGTCACTACATTTGTCGCAGCAATACCCACCACAACTGTTGTCAACCTTTTCATAACAAACTCTGCAAGACCATTTTCCGGATGGACGAGAAGGGCTAAAAGAGATACGGTGGTGGTGACGAAACCATAATTTTATGACATATGGGATATATATACAATACTGATGGACTACGAAGACGCATCGATTACATACATAAGTGGGAACAGATTTTTCAATGAGGCCACAAACATTGCAAAGTAAGGAATCTTGTTTGGCGAATAAGGTGAGTTGGTGGGGATGGCTTTTTGGGTGGTCTATAAAAATGGGTATTGGTTTCATTGCACAAACCGGATGCATACTAAGTTTGTAGGTGGGACAATGATACAGAATGCCAAAGAGATTTTCTTTGCAACACAAGCAAAATAACTGGCTGCTGGAAGCCCTGGAATAAATGTAAAGTTGGAGAGAAAGAAAGGGATAGGAAGGATGTTTGATCTCAAGTGGAGATTCCACACATTCTTTGTGGAACATATCATCACATGTGAGACAGATATAATAGTCTGTGCCAAGCTTTGAATCTAAGCATGCACTGCAACGGAATTGATCATAATCAGGTTGTTTATCGTTGCACCAAAAGATAGGGACAACAGGGAGCTTACAGATATCATCATCGCAGTTGGAATCATTGCAGTCTGAATCAGGCAAGTGCTGCTGGACTTGTTCATCAGTGTTGTGGAAGTGAGGAGAAATCTTGTACAGGAGAAATTCATCATGAGGATTTTTCTCATTGTGAGCTTTGTAACGTAAAAAAGGACAGAGGAAAAGAGGTTGAAGAGGAGGGAGGTCGAGATCACCGGAATTAATGGATGATTCACCGGAATATATATAAAATGTCTTTCCATCGATTTCTTCCTCACGAAATACACCAACGGAACTCATTTTTGCTACTAAGACGATTTGAGTAGATTCTTCTCCTTCTCGGTAATCTCCTCCCCTTATTTAAATATATGATGATAATATATATATACAACTTAAAAAAAACAGCTAAGCATGATATTATTATGTCTTGTTTTAACAGCTAAGCTTGATATTATTATAATTATTTTTTGGTTAAAGTCTTTGTTATAGAAAATTCATTAATTATTACTTTTTCCCATTCTCGATCTCGTCTTTATTTATTGATTTGTATTCTTTTTATATATCCTCCATACATTATATTTAAAAAATCAGATAGATAAACGTAAAAAGAAACTGTCAATTGTAATTGTATAATCAATTGGCTCATTTTAAACCCGAGATACCTATAGGATTAAAGGCTTAATGATATCTATCTATCTATATAATTATTTGTAT